TTACTGTTTCTTGCAAGACAACATTTTACAGACATGCGTTATTTACCAACTGCATTCTGAAACGGTGATGCGCACCTTAGTACTCTTTTTAACTCATTTAAGCTCACTGGCGATCCGAAGCCTAAGCTAAACGCGAAATGAGACGAATGAGCCCTTCGTGGAGTCCTCTCCAAATATGCGTCCATATTTCCCTTACTTTCTAATTAATTACCCGAGGTCGGAGCGCGCATGAGTTCTATGCTGCGCTAGCGGTTTTGTCTGAGCATGGTTTGAAGAGAAAGTACCACACATTGGGAAAAAGCTTAAGGGTACACGCACGTAACGGGCTAAGTATGCCCGATCCAAGCTAGTCTCAAATATTCGGTTATTAGCCCTGTCTTTCATGGGGAATCGCTCTTTTCCACCATTACTCCGTCAGAGGTTTTCCCGATACTCCATGCTTTCTTCAGCAAAGTTGTCTTAGATGTATGTGGGTAAAACCAGAATTTGTTTCAGCCACGTCCCAATCTTGCAAACCATACGTCCAATCCTGTGAATGGTTCCTTCACTTGGGTTTCGAGCATTTGAATAGCTCCGTCGGCTATCACCAGCGCTTAAGTCCCACAGTCACTCGCACTGCGACTAGTTGATTTGGCTTTTTAAACTGTTAGGCAGCCGAGACTTACTATCATGACTATGCTGCAATTGCGATAGCACTCCATGCAACATTGGGCAACTTATGGTGCTTTAGATTTAGTACAAAACAACAAGTCGCACACTTTCGGTGATACGGATGCGTTGTAGTGTATTATGCGAAATTATAACTAGCCGTACGCATTCACTGCGCAGTACCTTTGTGATGGTACCCAGTGGTGGCACGCGCTCTTTATAATGGAACAGAACACGTCTCCTAGACGAGGCCACGCTAGTGCTGTGACGGGCGATGGCTGAGTTGTCGGTGCGGTCCCTGTTGCAGCCTGATGGAGCCGTTCAACGCCACGCGCTACCTGAGTGGGCCAACGTACACGGCTCTGGTGAACTTCTACGACAACTTCGAGCGCAGCACCAACCGAAGGGAGGTCCACACGCAGGAGGAGCACAACGAGCAGGTGCACTTCATCAACATGATCACCAGCACGGCTCCGATCCGCAAGGTCAAGGAGTTCTTGTCGAGCAAAGGTGCGCCAGGGGGCTTGGACAGAGCTCGCGGACCGGGGCGGGGTGGCCGGGCATCCCGGGTCTCTGAGGAACCAACGCCAATGGAGGGAGCCAATGCAAATACCATCACGGTCTCCCTGAATTGACACCAAAGCGCGACGTCAGGGAGGCGGGTCTGGAGATTTGGAGATAAGAAAGTGCTGCAAAGAGCTGAATAAGCTTAGGTCTCTCCCTATGACAATACCATATACAGCTGTGTTTACTGAATAGAATCCCATTAGTTCCTTTGATCGTGTAGCGGAATGTTTGCCCGTAAATGACAGAACCAACTTTACAATATTCCTTCGTTAGCAGGTATGAAAACAGCCATTAATCCCGAATATTCTTCTGGTTGTCAAGCTTAGAGCGTCCAAATAAAAATACTATAATGCGTGTAAGCGGATGTGATGTCTTCCCTCGCACGAACCATCACAGCCCGTGTGGTCGGCAGTAGCTTAGAAGGAGCCGATGCCAACTGTTTGCATCGCCAGTGGCACGCTGCATCGCCATCGCCAGTGGCACACTGCATCGCCAGTGGCACACGCTGCATCGCCGCAACGTGACTGTTTTCCTTGCCTAACTAACTCGCCCACTGAACGCACAGGACGTGTTAGGGAGTATAATCATCGCTCTTTTTCAAGTCAGATTCATGGAGCTGGTCTACGCCGTCTTGCCGTGGCTCTCTCCGACCATTCCTGGGACTGTTTTCAGGTTACCTGCCGCGTAGCATGAACTCGTTCAAGCGAACAATGAAGGCTCTGTTGGTTCGACTTCTACGGTCGGAGCCGCGGCGTTCTCTCCTCGTCTGGTTTTGAGCATGTGCTGATGGGAGAGGTCAAGAATGGGTGAGTGGTGAGAACGAAGCGGCCGAGACGCTGGTCGTGACTATTGCATGTCTCGGCTGGACTTCGGGGTATGGGAGCCCACGGGTGGAGCGAATCAACGCCCATGGGCGGGGCGAGTTGAGCTCTGGCATCTCTTCCTGCTCGGGCGGGACGGCATTCATGGGCTGCGAGCGGACGCTGAATAAGCACAGCACGGGGTAGGCGCTGCTAGGACTGACCATGAGGGTCTAGGCGTAGTCGAGATAATCTGGACAGGATTGGACCGTAACTAATGGCGACATTCAGGGGCGGACATGCGTCGCTCGGGTAAAGATGAAGGCCGTAGTTGTCGGTCATGGTTTTTCCATTACAGGCAGGTGAGTGGCTTCCACAACTGGGTGTACTTCTATTTCCTGGAGCGCAAGAACGAGGTCAACTACCTGGGCTACAAGAAGTACCTGCAGCTGGGACGCGGGGTGAGTGGTGGGATGGCGGATGACCGGTGCGCCTAGTGCCTGGCCTACGGTGGATGTTACCGGGCTTTGGCCGATCAGTTGTCCGCTTGGCGCCCAGAATTGGCCTCATCGCTGGGCGTCAGCCGGACTCACCGTCCTGACGTTCATAGTGGGGCTGGTAGATGTCAAAGTTACGTTCAGTGGAATTGGCGCTGCCTAGCGCGAATGTCAAGATGAGTAGATTAAGCAATCATCGGTCAGCGTGCATGATGACACGGCACAGACCATATGACATGATGTTGAGGAAGTTGAGTACATCACCCTAAATATTACCATCTGTGTACCGTTTACATTGGTTTCTTCAGGTGACTGTCATTGTTTTCTTATTTCATCAATGAGTCATTGTTCATCAACTGCAGCGTATAGCTTCGACGCTACGCATTACATACCGTATTCCTTCCGCTCGAGCACAGGTTCACGACGGTAGCAACACTGAGTTCGTCAAAAACCGCGTCGTGACTGCTCCAGGTGGTTAAAACGCACGCCTTCTGAGCCACCCTCCCTTGGCGGGGGTGGGTTCGAGTCGCTTTAGACGTTCGCTGTTAACCCTTGACTGGAATAGCCTGTGAACGGTGAACAGCATCTGGTTACTTTCCTCTTGATCAGATACTGGAGCGCTGGTCTGCGAGTGACGGGACTGAGGCATGTCACCGAAGTTCAAGTGAGGTCAGAGGACAGGACGCACCGTGCCAAGCGTTAGGGGCGTATAAACTATTCGCTACCAATTCTACCGTTGACCTGGAATTTCACGATCAGATGGTAGGGATCATGGCTCACGCAACAAGTACTTCTTATCGCGAGACCTGATCCCAGAAATCCGTCCATTCAAATGCGCGGATCAAATGCTACACAAAGTTCTGGTGATCTCAGTTCAGCTCCATTAGTCTTCAGGAAACGCAGGACTACGTCCTCCCGAATGTCACATGGCACTTGTGATGTAACCTCAGAAGAGCAGCCTAGCGCCCCCGCTTTCCCGTCGTATTCAGTTCCTGGTATGATTACACCTCGTCCCACTGGACCCTCGCCACTGCCGTCATATGTGATGTATTCTACGACGCGCCCTGCTCTGCGACACGTCTGCCGTGAAGTTGTCAGCCCCGCCCACGCTGTCCCCCGCCCCGCCGCGCTGGGCCTGCAGTAATACCTCCCCGTCCGCATAACGGAGTCAGCGGCTGGTGGCTGGTCTGGTCGTGACGCCATAGCTCACTGTCCGCGCAGCGAAGTGGCGGCCGACGGCTGGCCATGACGTCATACCTCGCCGTCCGCACAGCGTAATCGGCAGCCGACCGTTGGTCTGACCGTGACGTCATTCGGCCGTGGGCTGGCGACCGCGCCTTGTTTATCCACTTGACTGGCCTTAATAAAGGCCTTCCTGAGAAACGAGGCTGGCAGCTTGCTTTCAACGAAGCACTCCAACTGCGCTTTGACCTTTCTGACCTCTGTCCGTGCAAACATACGTGGCAAACATAAACCTTTTGAAGGCACTAAGTGCTGAAGGCACTAAGAGTCCGTGTAACTCGGAATTAGGAGGAATGCTCACTGCTCTAGGAGAATAAGGGGATGTCCTGTATCGCTTTGTCTGGCAACACGATCATTGGTCACAATCAAATTGCACACACTTTATACGCAGACAAGCGCTCCAATATGTATGAGATTGCAGTAACATTAAAATATGTCGTCCGACACTTCTTCTGTCACCTGAACATTGTCAAATGAGGAGTCGACCCGTGGCAATGGGTTGTCATGGTCCAAATCTTCGAAGCAATCCTTGAACGTGCCAAGCAACATCCGAAACCCCCGCCTGTTGATGTCCAACATCTCCTCCGTGAACATCTCGGGAGGCAACCTCTTTGCCATTACCGCTATAAAGAGCGAGAAGAATAGCTCAAAGTGATGGATATTCATTTCCCGCTGGTGATGATTTTTGACGACGTTGTTCACGTAGCTTTTCGCCAACTGCATGTCATCCATCTGAGATACAATATTGGCGAACGTGTAAGCCACGTACTGGCCGTGTGCCGCCAGCTTCTTGTGATGCGCTATCTGGCTCAGGTCCATACCTTCGAATATCTTGAACTTGGGTAGAAGTGAAGCGTCGCGATGGAGCGCTGTCAGCAGGACTTCTGAGCCCATTCTGGCGCACAACTTCCGGTTGGTCATCAGCTCATCCCAGAAGGCGATAAGTACCTGAACCTCACGATCGTTCAGAAGGTCTGCGACTCTTGAGAAGTGGGGTGAGACTGCCATCACTCATTGGCCACATCTTCTTTGTTCAGATGTTCTTGGAAACATGATTCAGTATCTTCCTTGTATCTTCCTTGTATCTTCTATGTATCTTCCTTGATTCAGCGCCGTTGGCATTTGAGAATACCATTGCAAGATTTCAGCTGAAGCTTCTTTTAGTCGAATTTTTAGAACTATTTGGCCGGCACGCCTGTAAACGACGTTGGCCCATTTACTTACGCCGTCTCCCGATTCAATTTTGTTTCATCGCACTGATGGACCGTTCGCTCCGCCGTTTTCTATACATGAAATGTCAAAACCACTAGTTCCCTACGCCTAGGTCGTAGAAGATACTCAATCGCGAGTTTGGTGACGTGCGGGGTTCAAGAATTGGCCGATAACCCATAAGATAATGTTATTTGACGATCAAGTAGCGCGAAATCTGCACGTGGTATTAAGCAAAGACATCTTTTATTTTCAGATGTGTACATATGTACGCTAATAGCATGTGTTTATTGGGGGTTTCATGGCACGTTCAGCTGCCGACGTTATATGGCGTTGCCTGGCTCACATCCTGGCAGGAACGGCGGTCACCGCGAGATATTAAACCCCGTGACTCTGGCTTCCAAAGCGTGCAGCTTAATCAGTGCACTACACGACCTAGTAGTGCGGTTGTCAGGTGTTATCTAGGCACTCAGCGCTAGGTAGGATATCCCCGGTGCACTACCCGGCAGCGTAGAGGTTATCTATTGTATATAGCAAAGATACGACTCAGACTATGTTTAGAATGCATGTAGGCAGCCTGCCTCGCAGCGACCTCGGCCTCAGATTTCGCGAAAGCTCTAATAATTGTTAGAAGTTGGTGCCTTTGTATGTTCTTGAGGATGCACATGTAAATACGTAAACGTGTTGAAAAGGATGCAATCACTCAGTTTACCGGTCGCTGTGTGCAAGCCCTCACAGTGCAACTCGCGCCGTCCCTCTAGCTGACACCGACGGCTCGCCCTGTCTTCAGGACGCGATGGTCATCAAGTTCTCATTCAACGTGGCACAACCACCTGAAACCAGTGACAAGCATGATGATCGGACCTCTCCCGAGCTGGGAAATTGCGCTCTACACGCTCTGCTTATACGCTCGCCCGGACCAGAAACTGCCGTGTGTCGCTGGGCGGCAAGGACGTGGTGGTCAAGACACACACGTACAGGAGCAGCGGCAAGTCTATGATCGGCTCGGCCTACGTGGACCTGTGAGAGGGCCGCGGCACGAGCCCCGGGTCGCGCGGGGCTGCCAGCCGGGCTCTAGACGCGGACACTACGAGCCCCGGGTGGTCGCGATGGGGCCCCAGCGGGCTCTGGATCGGACACCACGAGCCCCGGGGGTCGCGCGGTCCGTCAGCCGTCTCTGGACTCGGACACCACGAGCCCCATGGTCGCGCGCGCGGCCGCCTTCTGCAATATGTGGCTTACGGACAGGGCGGGATGACTTTGGGGGCACAACCGTCGAATTACTCATGCTGTTGGGTGGGACGATATGACTCACATGTGCGACACTACACGATCCAAGCAGTGCTTAATGAGGAGCAATAAAATCGTTTCGCTTTGGTTTTGTTTGCGTTAAAGCCTTTTAACAATAATAATCATGTCATGGCTATGAGGCCAGGCAGCTTCGAGAGGACAGTGGCGGAGAAAGGCTGCGGGAGTCGTGGGAAGGGGGGGGGGCTTCGGTGGCGAGACTCACCGCGCACAGGCACACTTATTTGGGGTCTGTGCGAGTCCAGGCGGGCTCCCTGGCCGATTGGGGTGGGCAGCTAGCCGGCTCATAGGAAGCTGTCGCCGCATGCTACAGTGATACGGTGCGGTGTGGGAGTTAAGAGGGAGGTGGTTAGGGAGGATAACAGAACGGATAAATCACTTAGCTAGGGACAAGATCCCAAATAATCATATGTTTGGCTCTTGCTTGATTTGACACCGATTACCACTGTTGCTTGGAAAGCATCCCGCTGGAAACGGTTTCTTAACTCCGCTTATGCTCAGAACATGTGGTCTACGCTTAGCCTAGCCCTTATCTTTCTAACCCATTGGGCCCCACCTGCGATCGCCCAGTCCAGAATGCGTAGCGATGCGAAAGGAACAGACGGGATATTTGGTATCATGCCCACGTCGCCCACTCCCAAGCTAGAGTGCCGTTTCATACCGCTAGATGTCCCTGTATGCCTGGTTGACCGGGCTGGCTTGCTGGGATCAATGCCGCCGGCGTGGCGGCGGGGCCAGGTGGGACCTGCCGACGCCGCTAATGGAGCTGACGGCCGGCTATACTGGGCCGGATAGGGTCCCCCGTGACTGATGCGGTAGCCCAGGGCGCTTAGGCGTGTCACGGTCCGCTCAGCGATCGGGGCGGCGCGTGCCGGCACGGAGCCGGCTTGCCAGCAGGCGTGGCGCGCAGGGCCGGGTCATCCCAACGCTGGCGTCTGGCGCAGCCCAGACGGATGCTACCAGAGAGCCGTGCTCGCCTGCGAACAGCTGACCAATCGGCGTGCCGGTGCTGTGGAGGGCCCGCAGATGCGACTGGTCATCGTGTGGACGCATACGGCAGTTAGGCGTTAGGGAAGATGTCAATAAATGCACTCGACGAGGATCACTTGTGACCCCGTAAGATCCAAGCGTCGACTTCAGAGAGTCGCTAGCCGATACGGCTCTCAGCAACGTGCTCTGTGGCCAACTGCACGCTCGAAGCTGTCTCGCGCCGCCACGAGGCAACGATGCTCCGAGCCCCACGCTTTCGCCGGGCTCTGCTGACGTGGGGAGCGCTTCTGTCACTCAACCGACAACTGTGCTGAAGCGCGGTCGTCGGCTGAGTGTTTTCGTGCTTTGAACGCGGGCACGTGACAAAACTATAGCTGGCGACGCTGTACGATAGGGGCAACGAGTTGCCATCGGGGTGCTCGCCACTCGACAGCGCCCCTACCCCAGGGCACAGTTAGTTTCGGATCAAAATGTATGTCTTCTGTTACAACATTCGGCGCAAGCCAATACATACGCTGGAGTTATGCAGTGTAGTTTTGTCCAACTGACTGAGGGGGTGTCACTACCGGGATGAGGTCAAATCCACCCAAAAGTGGGGTTCTTTACGGCTTTGGTCAGGCTCGTAGTCTAAGTCGGGGAGACGGGTCACGAAATGGGAGGGGTGAGTAGATCTGGTTCTGGAATAGGTCTATAGATCTGGATCTGGAATAGGTCTGGGCGGCGACTCCCTTTCCCACGCATGCAGCGTACCGCCCTCCCCCTCCCCCCTCCCCCCCCCCCGCTCAGCTGGCGTCGGGCAGCGGAGCGTAGCGGATTTCACGCCCCAGCTGGCGCCGGGCAGCGGACTCTACGTCCCTGCCGGTTTCGAGCAGGGGATTTCACGCCATAGCTGGTGCGGGGCAGGGGACTTTATGCCCCTGCTGGTGCCGGGCAGCGGACTCTGCGCCCTGCTGGCGCCGGGCAGCGGACTCTTCTTCCCAGCTGGCGCCGGGCAGCGGACTCTTTTTCCCAGCTGGCGCCGGGCAGCGGACTCTACGCTCCTGCTGGCTCCAGGTAGCGAATTTCACGCCCCTGCTGACGCTGGGATGCGACCTCCACGCCTCTGCAAAGATCAAAAAGCAGGTCACACACCCTTGCTGACGCCAGACCGAGTATGTCGCCATCTTGACCCGCAGCGGCCAGCAAACAACGAGGCCAGCGGTCGCTCTGCACCGGCCGCTGGCCTCGAGCGCCAGTCTGCCTTCCATCTGAACGAGGTGTGAGCCGCACCACACCGCTGTCGGGGACGGCGGCGAAATACGTCTTCCTGCCACTAAGCTCCCCCCCCCCCCCCCCCCCCAGTGAGTGGAGATTCACGGCCAACGCGGGCACGAGCCGCTTCCGGTCACTATGAACAACGGTGACGACAGACGAGAACAGCTTGCATACGGCTAACGAAACATGTCAGTTTTGTCAGAGAAAACCACAACATTCCACATCACTTTGTCAATAAAGACAAAGGTTCTTCAAGCTACTTAACACCAATCGCGGCTCACAGGAACACTGAAGACGGACGGAACCAGATGAAGTGGTGGCTCATTACCTCTATCCCGACCGGGAACCATTTGAAGTGCGGCAGCGGCGACTTTTGCGGCGGCGGCGGACTATTGCGGCGCGACACACACGCTGCGGCGCGGCCAAGTCCCGGCGGACCATGAACGCGCGCTGCGTCAGCACACTATTCCAGTTCATTCGGGCTGAGCGGCCGCTGATAAGAGGAACACTCCCAACTTTCTGGAAAGTAGAGTGGCTGTCCCATCATTTGAAGAGCGGCGGCCGCACGGTACAAATGTGGCTCCCAGTCAGCTCCAGCTACCTCCGCAGAGCAGTATGATTCGGTGCGGCGCACCACGTGGGCCTCTCGTGGGCTTCCCGTGGGCCTCCCGTGGGTCTTCCGCGGGTCTCCCGGCAGCGCCCCAGCAGACGGACGGTCTGAGGCAGCTGGGGTTCACGGCCGCACCGACTAGGACATGGGGCCGAACAACTGCCCGCCGCTAGACACACGTGCCGCTTAGGACACGCGTGCGTGGCGATTGATCTGTGATTGCAATGACGCCGTTGCTTCAATAACATACCGCTCTTGTAGGGGACCCGACGCGCGTTTTCACGCGCCCTGTTATGAAGCGCCAGCGACCGCAGGGGCCAAATTAGCGCTCGGGTGTCATGGTGCAACCGGAGTTCAAAACCGGGACTCCCACGTGGTAGTTAAAGGCGCTAACAACTCGGCCATCACGACCCAATAACATACCGCTTTCCAAAGCACGAAACCACAGCATTGTTACTATGTCATTGGTGCGGTGGTTGGCAATCAGCACTGGACACTCAAGGAATAACAGACGCGCTGGCTTCGTGGAGCACCACCGCGTGCGGGTTTGACTGCCACCTGAAACCTCTCATTCCACGTCACACATAAAGGAAAGTCTTTCCTCAACCCAAAGTACCCCTACAATCCCACAACTGGCGAATTCTTTTGAATTCAGAGTGATGTGTTGCTTTAAGGATATTGTATGACACTGCGGCGAAAATGGCGTAGATGTGAGTTTGCGTGTTATTAAGAAGTGCGTTTGTCTCATCGTCATCATCGTCATCATGGCTCATCCTCTTGCGAGGATCCCGGCCTTCGACCGACGACTTGGGCATATATCGTCACGCATGCGTTTGTTTCCGCGCTACCCACGACTCATCTTTTTACGACTCAATTATTTGATTGGTGTTTATCTTAACGAGAAATGCTTCCTCACGAATGAGCTATCTCCTGGACAGTGCTACAGAACTATCTCCAGGGCTCTCTCCTATCTCCACCAGGTTGGTTCAGCTCGGTTATGCTTATTATCTCAAGCTTTTACCTAACCATGTAGGACTTAATGTCTCTCAGAAGAAAACAAATTGGGCCCTTTCCTATAGCCGATCTTCTTGGTTAGTTCCCTATAATGACGCGACTACCCACATATATATATATATATATATATATATATATATATACATATATATATATATGCATTAATGTGCATATATGCATGGGTAATCGCGAAGGTAAGACTGTATGGCACTAACAAACACGCAATATTCATCGCAGCAGTAACAATAGGCATGAAACCTCGCACAGGGCGTGAGTATGTGTCCGGGTGGCGAGGGATGTAATGGCAGCTGTCCGGGGTTAGACAGTCCTATTGGTGTGGTGCTATCAGCTCATGCACCCTTAAGACAGTTTTGTGCTGTTTGTATGCCATCAGCACTTCTGCGAACATTGCGCTGGAGGTGTTTCCCTTCAAGTAACCATCAGCCTTCACGCACGCAGGCTTTGGAAGACTTTGGACGCAGGCGTTGACGAAGACGAAGACGAAGACGTTGGACGCAGACGTTGCCTTCACGCAAACGTTGGAAGACGTAACTGTTCTTCATTCTGATTATCACATTTGCCTGTATAGAGACATTTCGCGTGACAGCTTTTTTGTGAAATTGTTAAGCATTTCGCGTGACAA